CCATGATTGTTAATTCCAAAAGTACCCTTAACACTTCTTCGTATACATAAAACAAAATTGACCAAATAGAACCAAAGTGGTTGTTCATATCTTACTAGGGGGGAAATGGTATTTTTTATTTTCTTTTGATTAAATTGACTCAAATGGACATTAGGGTCAAAACTATCATCTTCCACTAGGTCGATTTGGTAAATCGATTGCAAACTATAGGGGGTGTTTTAGTAAAATACAAACTATAGGGTGAAGTTTAATAAAATTGAAGAAGAGAGTTGGTCCTAGTTTGATGGTGGATGAAAACGGAAGAAGAGAGAAAATGTTGAACAAGTTGGAGGACATGCATGGTACCACCTCCTGATTTTTAGATCTAAAACCTAAATTCCTAAATCCTAAATTCTAAAAATTTAAACTCTAAACCCTTAAACCCTAAACTTTAAGCACCTAAACTCTAATCCTAAATCCTAAATCCTAAACCTTAAAATCTAAATTCCAACCCTTGAATCTTAAACCCTAAACTCGTAAAACCTAAAATTAGTGTGTAAAATGGTTATAGTAGGATGCATGTCCTCCAACTAAGTATCTTCCTAAAAAATTCATTCAGTTTAGGGAAAAAGTAGCCATAAAATATTGTATTTGTTTGGATATTGTGAAAATGGCTTTTTGGGAAGCATAAATATATATGTTAGTAATGTCTGATTTTTAATGTGTTTGTGTGTGTGAGAGAGAGAGATGAAGAGATGATTACCTCGAAAGATGCCAATCTACCAAGGTCCTGAAGCTCAAATATCTCGCTGCAGTCATGAAGCTCAAACGGTAGTAAGCTCTGTGTGTTTGGCATATTTGATAAACTCAATGACTCGCAATCACAAAGGTTTAATTCCTGCAAACTTGAAGGAAGTTTCGGGAGTGACTGAAGCCGTGTACAACGGCTTAAATTAATGCGAAGGAGTCTGGACAGGCAACTGATACTTGACTCTTGGCCATAATGTGAGAATCCTTCCAGTGATGAGCAACCAGGTGCATACAACTCCTCTAAACTTGACGGAAGCTCTGGAAGTGATCGAAGCATTTTGCAATTCTGTAACTCAAGAACCTCGAGCTTGGAAAGGTGACTGATGCTGGATGGTAGACTAGTAAAATTGTTRTRRCTTAGATCCAAYACTTYYAAYGACYKTAAGCTCCCAATGTCAYTAGGAATAGMRCCTTCTGACAGATTGCATTTGCTGAGAATTAGGCCACTTAAGGAGTATAAACCCGAGAAAGAATTGGGTAGGAGATTGGAATCAGGTCTACTCTTTCCTGGAGATAGCATTGATGAGAAGAACGAATGGAATAAATTATCTGATGATACTTTACATCCTTCTAAAGATAATATCTTGAGCTTCTTCAAGCTTAAGATGGAGTAAGGTAATTGTCTTATTCCACTTCCATCTACTGTAAGCTCCGTTAGAGATTCCATATTTCCTAATTTCTCTGGCAACTTTTCAAGCTTTGAGCACCCAGAGAGAATAAGATTTTCAAGAGATTTCAACTTGCAAATGCTGCTTGGAAGACCCTTTAGTTCCTTGCAATCTTTCAGATTCAGAAGAATGATTCTATCAAGAAGTTGAATAGAAACATGAACCTCAACCAAGCTGGTACAGCCTTCAAGAATCAATCTCTCAAGGTTGGGAAGTCCCAAGAAGTCTGGAGTTCTGGTAAGGTAATAGGAATGACTGAGATCAAGTACTTTTAATTTTTCAAGCAACTGTCACATATATATAAGAAAAGAGGAAGAAATCAGTTAATTTCATTAATTCCATGCTTGAAATATATGTACAACTACTACTGAAAGATGAAGAACATAGAGAAATTAATGCTGTATATACCATGATTTCCTTCCAGACTTGTTTCAATCTGCTATGTTGCATATCAAGAGCAACGAGGTTCTCTAGATTAAAATTGGACGGTAGAAATGTCAAAGGGAAACCATGCCAGCACAGCCATCTTAACTCTCCAGAGACATGCTCGTAGGACCCCGTTAGCGTTACATAATCCATTCTGAGTAGTCTTAGCTTTTTCATCCTATCGAATGCTTCGGTTGTCAATTGTAGATTACCTGTTCTGGATAGGCTTTCTAGTACAATGCCTTGAATTTTTTCTGTTGCCTGATAGAAACTTCAATGAGCAACTAATGCTTATATACATGCACAGTTTAATTGATAATAAATTCTTAATTTGCTCATCTATAATATGATGATATTGACTTCAAAGTCGAAATGTTCTAGTCCTTTAGGCTGCGCTTGGAAACGATGCAAATAGAGTGTAAATCCCGGCCGGTTCAGGGTAGATTTGCACTCTGATTCACTTTTGCCTCTGTTTGGCAACATTACATTTATGCACTGACAAATGACCGACAATGCTTATTTACATTTATAATAAGATATAAAAATACATCAATAAGAAAGAAGTAAATTTGCATTCAAGTGGGCTTTTGATAAAAAAAGGCATAGACTTTATTGGAATTTTTGTTTACAACCATTACAGCTAATTAAAAATCTATTTGGTAAGAAGTTAACTTTGTCAATGCAAAACTAACCTGACTTTGCAATTTATATGGACCATTTTACACTCTATATATTTGCATTCACGCTAATTTGCATCATTGCCAAACGCAGCCTTAGTAATTAATTATTTCTTAAACTTATACTCACAATAAGCAAGCCTTCTGTAGTCCCAAAATATTTTTTCACTTTAAGCATGCATGGTGGTTCTCACTTTCTATGTGTCTTAAACTTCAAAGCAATCAGTTATTGTATTCAAAGTGTGATTTGTGCTCTTTCTCTTTTGTCACATGGCAAAAAGAAAGCAAATTAATTAATCATTTGCAATTAAGGAGCAAGAAAACAAATCCAATCCAATACAAAGAAGGCTTTATTGTGACCCAACGCATCCTAATTCAAGAACATTCTGTGGTTGTTTAGACTATTTTAAATGACAAATTATATATATATATAGAGAGAGAGAGAGAAAGAGATAGATATAGATATAATTTAGGGGTGTCAATTGAACCAGATTTGGCCCAATCCAATCTGGTCCAATATGAGTCCATTACATATGGACCAGGTCCAATCCAACCCAATAAAATACTCTGGACCATTTTAGATCAGTCCAATTCAATGTCTGGACAGTTCAATCTGTTCAAATTGGTTCTAATTTAAATTGATTCCAACCCAAACCCAGGTTCATTGACACTTGTATTCTTCTATCAATGGACTAGATATTAGTTCAGTCTGACCCAATCCAATATATAAATCTATTACGGGTGGACCAAGTCAAATTCAATCTAATAAATACTTTGAACCATTAAGTCTGGATTGGTCCAATTCAATATATCTTATTGGTCCATCCAATCCATCCAAATTGATTTTGACTTGGATGGGCCCAACCCAAAACTGGTTCATTGACAATCCTAGATATTAACATACACATGAAATGTATAAATTCCTATATATTACTGATATTCACACAAATATATATAAGAGATTCTTTTGTATTTTTTATCATTACCTTACATTTCTCCAATACATAATGGGCATCTTCATGAAACCATAGTCTGCTTCGTTTTCCTGGTTCCTTTGGAGATTCTTCACGAACAATTTCTCTTCCCATGTCCCGTAGTAGATCATGCATCCTCAACTCATTGTTTTCATTGACTGTTAAAAGAGACTTACGAACAAGGATACCAATTTCATTTTCTGAATCGTTGAAACCACAACCATCTAATATTGTAGTTACATAGCCTTTGTCCATTCCAATGAAGAAGAATGCAATATCGAGGAATATATCCTTTGCATTCTCATCATCATCTAGTCCATCAAAACTTATTCTGAGTTTTTTCTGAATTTGATTGTAAGGAATCCGTTTTAGTTTTTCCAAAGCACTTCTCCATTCAGCCATGCTTCTGTTTTCAGCCAAGAAAGAACCCAACACCTCAAGAGCTAAAGGAAGCCCTTGGGCATAATGTACTATATCTTTTGAGACACCCAAATACTCTTCTTTAGGTTGATCTATTCCAAAAGCATGCCAACTGAAAAGCTGAATGGATTCATCATCACTCAACGTTTCTGCATTATACTTTTCATCCACATGAAGTACATCTAGCACATCTTCATCCCTAGAGGTTATGATAATTCTACTTCCTGCACCAAACCAACTCCGCTCTCTAGCCAAAGCATTTAATTGGTTTATCTGATGCACATCATCTAGAACAAGTAGAACCCTTCTACTACCAAGTCTTCCTTTGATCAATGTAATTCCTTCATCAACATTACTTATCTTTAATCTTTCTTCCTTTAGGATGTTTGAAAGAAGCTTTTCTTGTAAAAGGACAAGACCATTAGATTTCTTAGAGTCTTCGTTAACATTTGCAAGAAAGCTACTGCCCTCAAAACTGTGAAAAAGTAGATTGTATACAGACTTAGCAATGGTTGTCTTACCTATTCCACCCATACCGCAGATTCCTACAATGCGAATATCATCACCTGACTGATGAATTTTCAAAAGTGAGTTCACACGCTCCACACGGGAGTCTATTCCAACCGGGTAGGTGGTAATATCCAACAATGTCTTACTCAATTTGGTCAAAACCACTCTCACAATTTGTTTGATGATCAATATCTGCTCCCTGTCCGATTGCAAAACAAATGTGTTAAGGAAAGAAAGATAAATCAATCAATGAATGCGTAGTCAGTTGAAATAATTAAGCCATATATAAAATTAAACCAGAAGTGAAATACATAGTCAATGTGATGGTATTTAGTAGTGTTAGCTATATACTATTGGTCAAATTATAAACATAAAAACCGGAATCAAGTCGAAATTGAAAAGAAGTAATAAACTACTAAGTGTTTAAAGTAAGCATAATTAGGACTGCAATTTCCTCTTGGTGCACCTAACTTTTAGAAGCTTTCATGAGCTGTTAGCTAGAGAAAATTTATTATTTTTGTTAATGCAAAGGTTAAGGTTGTTATTTATCTTTTATTCTTCCATTGTGAAATCTTAAAAAAATTAATTACCAGGAAAAACCCTACAATTAATAACTTCTATTCATTTTAGGCTCACTAGTAAATGTTCACATTTATTGCATTGGCAATTCAAATGCGCTGATGGTGATAATTTTGGTGTTCTTATCAGAACCCATGTAACAAAGACAAGTAATGAAAGCATGATTTACAAGGTGGGTTTATTGCGTTTAAACCTAAAGATCTAGCTTGAAATCTTTAATTTATTGATGTTTTGAACTTGCAGTAAATTGAACAATTAGATTAATTGATCTGTCACTTGGATAAATCTCAAACCATATTTCAACCCAAAACCACTGTTACAAAAACCATTGCCTTGGTCAACAACTAATTAAATGACTAGACCTATTTGACTAAGTCCATGCGCCATCGGTAGGTCATCATCAATTCTATTTTTCTTTCTGTGTGTTATTTTCAGTGTTTCCATCACTAGTAAAAGTATGTTTCTTTTTCCACACATATTTTTATTTAATATGAAGAATGTATAATATTAAACACATCCTTAAATTGTTATCCCATTCGTTAAATTATTTTTATGTGTATTGGCTGATTTAAGACATCATCACTAGTTGAAAAATTGAACTATTTTACCCAATCAACGAGGGGTAGTGGGTGAGACTTTATTTCTCTTTTTTCCTTAATTTTTATATTCCATTTTCATTTTTAATAAAAATAAATCTTATTTATTACACTTTCAATATGATGAATATATACTATTTAGAGATAGGCCCAATTTTTATTACAAATTTTTTATACTTTTCACAATTTTTTGTATCTCTATCTATTTTTTATTTTTTTATTATTTAGTTAAGAGACCATGGGTTGACCGGCCCATTTGACCTAGATAGTTGAACCACTAACCCACAACTTAGATGGAAAAACCATATTTGCTTTTGGTTCAAATTTAATTGTTGTATTCCATTTCTATTATTAATAGAAATAATTTTACTTATCACATTTATTTTTTTATATGATGAATTTATAATGTTAGAATGTGCCTAAATGTTTTCTACAAAATTTATGTGCACTTCCATTTTTTGAAAAAGGTAAAATATATATAATATTCAAAGAATAAAGGAGAGAAATATGTACAAAGGGGATGGCTAATCCAGAAAAAACAACCAAGAGAGTCAGTCAAAGGAGAAATTCCAATAGAATGAACCAAAGCAAGCCAAATGAACAAGAAAGAAAATTATATCATGGGTTGACTCATTTGAACAAGAAGGTTGCACTATTATCCCACCACCTAAACAAGAAAATGGTTTAATCTTCTAATTGCTTTTAATTTTATATTTTATTTAATTTACCTCATTATAGAAATATTCTTTTTCACCACACTTACCTATTATTTAATTAATAGAATTTAACGATGGGAAACAAAAATACCTTAAATATGGGACTAATGAGAGGGAACAGAATGAACTGAAGAGTGGCATCCAAATCATGTTTTATGCCCTCACAATAGAGAATGACCAAATCTACAAACTCAAGGTCTATTACCAAAAAATAAGGTGTATCTCATCCTTTTTATAAATATAATATAATATAGATTAGCTTATGCAATTTTGCATACAAAATTGAAAGGAGCTGTTTAAATTTCAGTAAGAACCTTTTGGTAGCGTTGTCTAGATGCCATCCACTCAAATTTCCTGCTTGCTTCAGAGCTGTCCTCCACGTCTGCACCTTCTCCATCCTTACGCCTTGCTCCTCTTCGTGTTCGGCAAATGCTTTGGCAAAACATCCACTCTGTTTCCGCACATCAGACGGATGGACGTCATAGAAAACAGGCAGAACAAATTGGCCCATCTTTCTTCTGCATTCTAGAATTTTCACAAGTTTATCCAGGCAGCATCTGGAAGACGCATAGTTCCTGGAGAAAACGATGACAGAAATCCTTGATTCCTCCATTGTTTTCTGCACTTCAGGTGGAATTTCTTCTCCGTTCCTGCTGACCTCTTCATGATCTCTGATCGTTTGAACCCCTTTTTGAACCAAAGATGTATACAAATCATCAATGAAGTTTTGGTTGGATTCTTCACCTACAGAACTCAAGAAGACCATGTGTTTCCAATAACAGGAAGCCATGAGAAAATAGCTCAAGAGATACTATGGTTCTGGGGCTAAGCTTGCTGACCATATATGAACCACCAACACAGGAAGCAGCTGTTTCTTCCATGAACTTCTTTATCCATGACAGTACTTCAGAACTAAAGTCAAACTTTGGCAACTCATCTTATTTTTTAATTTTTTAATCTTTTGATGTATGATGATGGTTATTTTATTGGTTACCATTTTATATTAATGTGATCGATGATTATCTAAGGAGAGGCCGTTTATTAACAGTTGAAGTTGCTAACTGAGACTTATTGCTTTTACAAGTTGTTAAAATAATTAAATTGCAGTTACAAACGGTTTCTACGGTGGATGACAACTCCGTAACTCGGTTTTATGAATGCCTCGTTTTTATGAAAAATTTTGAATATTGAATGAGTGGCTTTAACGTCAAGTAATCTCTTACTGCTGGGAGTCAGAGTCAAAGTTCTCTCGCTAACTTACGCCAGGTTACACCGATCCAACTAGAAAAACTCTGATTGGTTCTGGTTAAGTTTGGTTTATGGATAGGGGTGAGCATTGTTAGGTTAAAATCGAAAAACCGAATGGAAATTTTTAGTTTTGGTTTTTTTGATTCAATTAATTCGATTTTAAAAAATTTTTATTTCAGTTTCGATTTTTAGGATTGAAAATTCGGTTAACCGAAAAAAATCAAATTAATTAAATTTATTATATACATATTATAATATATATTATTAATATGTAAAACATAATATATATTATATATAATATTAAAATATATAAAATACATTAAATTATACATATATTATAATATATATTAATATATTAATATATAATATATAATATTAACAAAATTCTGTTTTAACCAAAGTAACCAAAAACCGAACCAAAAAATTTGATTTCAGTTTTTTGGTTTTTTTAATAATTCGGTTTTGGTTCGATTTATATTTTATAAGTTCAGTTTTTAAAAATTTGATTTATTCGGTTTGAGTTTTAACCGAATACTCACCCCTATTTATATATGGTCTGTGTCCCCTGAGGTTAATAGAAAATGCTAAGCTTTAACCCATCTCCACTCAAGTTTTGCCCTTGGTTGGGATGCTATTGTCGTAGGCCCTGTTTAGTCTGAGATCACATCTGCGCCCCAAAATTGTGAGTGGGAGATCTTTCCAATACATGGTTGGAATATGCTGTGGGGTGTTTGTGGGGCACCTTTGTGGGGCACAGACGTGAATTCGTTTTATTCTCTAATACAAAGAGCTAAGAAGGGCCAACTAAATATTATGATGCACTTTATGAATCCGCTCTGAATTAATTAACGACAATTTTGAAAGCTTTGTTCATAATTAAACAGTAGCTATGGTGAGTTGATACAATTCATTTTGACGCTCAAGTTGTAATTTTAAAATCTTCTCTCATGGAAAACGATTTTTTTCTTAAATAAAATAAAAAATTTAGCTTCTTGCTTTGGGCAGGTGGCTTTTATTGATCTGCATTTACATTTCCTCCAGACTGTTTAATTAAAACATTGTTTAATGGGTAGGGTACCTGAGCAAATTGCCCTACCCATTTCCAAATCCACCTATGTACCCAACCCTAAACCCGTCTAATTTTTCCTCTAAATTTTCCAAACTCGTTCCAACCAGTCCCACCCGATTTGAAAAGTTAATCAAAGCTAAAACTCTTAACACTACTTTAAGCCACTGTGTCATCTCACCTTTTGTGATACTTAATGAAATAAAATAATTTTTATGAACTTTTTGTTTATCCAAACAAACAATACATATTTATGATTAGCAATTCCAACTAAAAATTAAAAGAAATAATATGTAAAATTAGCATTTTATAAATAAATAGAATAAATAATCTATCAAATCCAACTTTATATCAACAATGATTTTAATCCCAAGAATTTATACAAATAAAATATTAATTATAGAATAACTATCTTAGTACTTAATATTTATAAATTTGTGCATGACATATATCTTACAATTTTTATATATTTTTATAATTATTAGTTAATATTTTAATTCATACTAAATAACATTATATTTATAAATTACCAAAAAACAAAAAAAAAATGTTTACAAAATATTCAAGAATATAATATTAAATTGAATCTATCAAATCCACCAATTTATAGTTATATGAAAAAAAATTATTTTTAGTTTCAAAAAAATATAGAAGATCAAATTTTAATAATGACATAATTATTTCAGTAATTAAAAAATATGAATTTGCATATAATATATATATATATATATATATATATATATATATATCTTAGAAAATTATATATTTTGAGTAAAAATTATATATTTTTATAAATTGTTAAATGATAATTTAATTTATATTTGAGAATTTAATATTTGGTTGGCCTTTTTGTAAATGTTAAAATGTAAAAGTAATAAAATAGAAAAGAAGTGATATAATAATTAGGATAAATATAATAGATTCAAATGTTTTGTGTCTTGGACTCTTAATTAATGTATTGTTTGATATTTGCATTTGTATCCAAGTTCATTATTAAGTAAATAAAAAATGTTCTTCAAAGTTCATTATCAACCAACATTATATAATGCCCTTCCATATAAAAGAGCAAAACAATATAGTATAATTCAAAAAATAAATAAAACTAAGTGACATAAGAGAATGGGTAAACAAATAAGTTTTTAATTTCAAAGAACCAAAAATCCAAGAAAACCCAAAAGTTACACATCAATAGGTCTTGGACTCTTGTTCATAACCCTTAAACCTTAAGGGTAAATGGATAAACAAATAAACATGAAGGTTGAAGGATTGGAGCTTGACTTAAATAAAAAGAAACTCTCTTCATATATTATATATTATAAATTATTTTATACTATACATTATACCATAACATATATATATATATATATATATATATATATATATATATATATATTACCTAGGTTTAACCCTAAAGTCAAAACCCAAACTCGTCCCAAACCCTATAGGGTTTTAATATAAAAACCCAAAACCTACAAGTTTTGATAAACAGGTCTTATTAGGGTTAGGATGGATCGGATACCCTAAAATTCCCATGAAATTGCCATCCCTAATAAAATGAAGTATAAGCAAATCAAACAATTATCTATCAATTATTTTCCTACAAAACAAACATGGGAAAATGAATTTTCTCACAATTTTCCCTTAGGTTGTATTTAGTTTAAAGGAGAAAGGAAGGCAAAGGTAGGGAAACCTTTATAAACCTTGTATAGTTTCCTTACTAATGAAGAGGTATTTGGCCCTCCAATGACAGCTCACCACATGGCACTTTTGAGCTATTGTTTAGGAGCCACGTAGGCCACTACCTAGTAACCAAATCCACCTTGGAAGGGACTCGTACAATTTGAGGATGGCTCGAAGTCACCTCAACAAGTTGAGCCCAACGACTTCATCACTACTGAACTAAGGACCACAGTGAACTCTCCCTGTGGCCCTACTGATCTAATGAAGACCTAGTCTCCAACCAAATTGGTGTGGTAGCCAGTCTCCTTTGAGCAAGGACTCACCCCCAACTCCCCCAGGATCACATCACTCGACTATTGGATCTATCTCCCCGTGCTGTCCACTTTGGGGATAACCAGATAGGCCTTATCCCTCTACGTGGACTCCATTTCCAATTAAGAAATTGCCTTCGAGCATGGTGGACATGTCTTCCTAGGGATCTTGGACGTGGTACACGAAGCACCCAATAGCTAGCGCCTATATAAAGGCATCCCTTCGATCGCAGAAGGTACGCATGATTTAGCTCTCATAGTACTCTAGCTCTCATAACACTCTTTCGCTAACTTAAGCATCAGAGCGCCCATACCAGGTAAAGCAACCTAGGTACTCTGATCTTTGATTTCTTCTAGATCAGCCAAGCAACCTACTTATTCCAGCATCCTAGCTGTATTCCAGTAGGGAGCACCAGATCGCGCACCATCAATTAGCGTCATTTGTGGGAATCACTACAAAAAGCTTAGTTCTCACATCTTTGATTCAGTTTTGCAAAAAAATGGCTTCGTCCAACAACATGCCATCTAAGACCAACATCAACACCAATGTCAGGGATTTGATTGAAGGGAAGACTCAGCCCATCTAGAACGTGGAGAATCACTCAGTCACCATTAGATAGAGTACTATTCCCCTAGCTCTACCAGGTGTACAGATCGGTCTAGGACTAAACCTCCTACTGCCCTCGGTAAACGCATCTCTCTCGACGGTTGAGCCCTCTATGGTTCCCATTGGGATCAATCCATGCTAGTTCTATGATTTGATGTTGCATGTCCATAGTATAGACTTATGATGCAGAACTAGGAGGGCCATTTCATGGCCATGGCTGGAATGTACCAGTAGTTCACACCTAGCATGCAGATGTCGCAGGTGCATCAACATCAATAGTCGCAACAACAACATTAGTGGCAGTAATAGCAACAGAACCAACATCAATAGGACCAAGGTGCTGGTCAAAATCCTGTACTACCAGTCGACCACCCCAACCCATGACCTGGCAACCAGAGCACCCTAACCACTCTCAACCAAACTAGCACAATGACCAATTACGTGGAACCGTCGAGCTCAGGAGGACACATACCTCGGAAGCTCGAGACCCAACTTATGCCCTAGTTGAAGAAATGACCAGGCCAATTCCTCAATTGACATGACTAACGTTGGTTCATCTGAAGGGTCTTGAAGGAGACGATGTACACACACTCGTAGGAATCTTGAGAAAAGCCACTTTACACCAAAGGACGAAGAGGAAGAAAAGGAGGAAAGCCAAATCGAGACCCTGCTAGCACTGTACGAGTCCGCACCTCATGTGACTTGCACCTCGCCGCTTTCAGCCGAGATCCTTACGGTACCTCGGTCAAAGGATTATAGGGCCCCCAATTTAGAGACATATGCCAGTATTGGCAACCTAGTCGATCATGTTGAGAACCTCTAGTCTCTAATGCAACTACATGGGGCCTTAGATTCTAATCTATGCATGGCCTTCCCAACCACCTTCTGACACATAGCTTGGATGTGATATTTCGTGTTA